GGTCGCGATAGCGGATCGGCATTTGGCGCGGGCGATCACTGCGACGGGGACGGTCGGGTTCAGTATCTCTCAGCGGCTGCGAGCCTGGCGCGGCAGGGGGCGGCATGGCCGGCGGCGACGGCGTGGCATGACCGGGCGACAACGCATGCGGGGACACGCGATGTGGTGGTGAAGTCGACATGGACGGTGACGGCGTCACACACTGTGGGGACACAAGGGGCGGCGACGCATCTCGCTCGCGCGGGGATAACACCACAGGCGGCGATGGCGCGGGTGGACGCGGTGTCGGGGGCCTGCCACGGGGCGCCCGCGGCGGCGTCGCCGGCATCTGGCCGACCACTGGAGTCGGAGAGCCGGGGGGTTGCGCCGCAGGTGGAGAAGTGGGTGGCGTCAGTCCAGAGTTCGCGTGCGACTGTGACACGCGTGTTGGATGTCGGCGGAAGTCGTCGAGCAGTTCGTCCATTCGGGTGTGCTGACGACGAGCCGGAACAACCGGAGTGTATTTGCGCAGGAACTGCCTGTTGCGCAATGTCATTCGGCCGCTGCCGTCGACCCGGACCATGTACTGGTTATGTTGTCGCACCTCCACGACGCGGCCAGTTTTGTCCCACTTCCTGGGATATCTTCCGATTTGGTTTTGGAGGCGGACGGCATCACCGACGGTCAGTGGAGGTAGTCGCCTCGTATGTGCGGACCAGCGTTCGTGGTCCCGCATGTGGCGGTTCCGGAGTGCCTCCTCACGAGCACTCAGGGTTTCGCGCCACGTGGGATGAGGACGGTACTGACCGGGGGGTATCGGGATGAAGTCTCGCACCGGACGACCGAACACGCATTGGGCCGGCGACAGCCCTGTCGTGGGGTCGGGAGTGTTGCGGTAGTTCAGCATGGCGCGCTGGAAGCGTCGCACGTTCAGTTCCCCGTTGTCACCTGTGTTGCCTTCGATCATGCGTTTGACGGTTTTGACGCCAACCTCAGCGCGACAGTTCGCGTGTGGGAATGCCACAGAGGAGCGGCGGTGACGAACACCGTAGTCGGCCAGAAACGCCTGTGTCTCGTGGGCAGTGAACTCCGGCCCGCCATCGCTCGTCAGCTCCTCAGCGATGCCAAATGTGCTGAAGACGCGGTAGAGACAGTCTCGGAGGCCTGCGCTGCCATCTTGTGCTCTCTCAACGATTGGCCAGTTAGAATAACGATCAACGATGACGAGGTACGTACGGCCGCAGTGTGTAAAGTAGTCCGCGCATAGTTGCTGGAACGGGTACTCTGGGTAACTGATGTCCTCAGGTGGGGCCCATGGCTGCGATGGGGCGTTCCGGTTGCACGTGTGGCATCGTTCACGGGCGCGCCGAATAGCTGACGTGATGCCGGGCCAGTACACGCTTACGGCCGCGCGCGCGAGCATCATGCCGATCCCTTGGTGCGCACCGTGGAGACTCTGGAGCACCTCCTCGCGGAGGCTGGGTGGGATGACGATTCGCTGATCATACAGGATGATGCCGTCGCTGGTGTATAGGCCATCACGGAGCGAATGATACTCTCGGAGCTCCTCAGGCATCTCGTGGCGGTGGGCTGGTAGCCCTCCCTCGATCAGTTCGAGAAGTCGCATCATCGACGGATCGCCTGCCGTTGCGTCCCTCACGCGGTCCCAGGTGACAGACCGGATCGTGGTGATGGCGGCTGCCGCTACCTCGCCAGCATCGTCGACGGTGACGTCGTCGGAGAGGCTTATGCCGATGGGAGCGCCGGTTGGGTACCGGGACGCGATGTCGGGAACGCGGTTCTTGACTCCGGGGAGATAGCTGATGTCGAATCTGAACCGGAGGGTCTTTTCCTTGAGATTACGGAGACGGGCGTTGGGCAGGTCGACCAGTGATCGGTCCCCGAAAATCTTCACGAGGGGTTTGTGGTCAACAACGACCGTGAGGTCGCTGCAGCCGAGCACGAAGAAGCGCGTTTTCTCGAGGGCGTCGGCCACTGCCAGCGCCTCGCCCTCGACCGGGGCGTACCGAGATTCAGCGCCGGATGTAAAGCGGCTTCCCACCAGCGTGGTCTTCCAGCCCTCAGCGCAGCAGAGTGGTGACCGACCGGCGCATGTGCAGTATTTCTGGAGTAACCAGAAACCGATACCAGTACGGGACCAGTCGGTGGCCAGGACGGTTGGGCGATCTGTCTCGAAGATCTGGACACCCTTCGTGACCTCCTCGACGATGGTCCGTTTCGACATGTCGAACAGTGCCTGGAGTTCATCCGTCCACGTGAACTTGCCGGGCTTCAGGAGTTCCCGGAACGGCAGCATGGCATCCGCCATGGCGAATGCGTAGGCGACGTGATTGACGACCCCGAACCACGCGCGGACGTCTGTCAGGTTCCTGGGAGTGGGGAACTCGGTGATGCTCTGAAGGAAGGCATGAGACGGGCGGACTGTGTCAGGCGTGATTTCAAACCCAGCGAATTCCGCTGTCTTCTGGGCGAAGACAAACTTCTCGCTGTTCAGCGTGATGCCGGAACGGCCACACATGTCCAGCCATTCCACAGTGCGCCAGAACACCTCCTCGATGCTGTCTCCCCAGAGAAGGGTGTCGTCGATGCATTTCGTGTAGCAGTCGTGTGACAGGTTTGCCGCCATCACGATCTCGTCATAGCGGCGCGTGTACCCGTCACCGCTGGAGATGTAGCCCTGGGGTGCCGCGCAGTAACGGTATCGGCCCCAAGGGGTCAGGAAAGTGGTGAGGTGTCGATCTTCCTCGTGTAGGGGCACCGAATGGTAGCCATTCCAGGCGTCCAGTATCGTCTTGTAGGTCGACCTCGGCACAGACCGGGCTTGGTGGAAGGGACTTGGGGTATGATGCGTCTCTCTTGCGGCGCAGCGGTTCAGGGGCTGAAGGTCGACGCAACGGCGAGGGCTTCCCGACTTCTTGGAGACGACGACCATCCGGTGGCACCAGGTCACCGGCTCACCAATCGGTACGGGCTCGATGACCCCCAGCTGCACGTCGCGATCCAGGGCGGCCTTGACCTCCGTCTGCCAGTGCAGTGGTACTGGGATAGCCTTGTGGTGGGCCACTGGCTCGGCGTCAGGTCTGAGCATGATGCGCAGGGGTGGACCGTCCATCGGCGTGAGTGGCTGATGTTCACAGGTGTTGAACGTGCTCGCAGAGTAATAGTCGGCCAGCCACTGACGCAGGGCGTCGACGTTGCTCTCCGTTGCCGGCATAGGTAGCTCTGTTGGCTTAGGCGGAGGCGTCTGACGGCGAGGACAGGAACATGCGTTGTACTCGTCGATGCCGATCCCATCCGCGGAGATAGACGCGAGCCCGACAGCGGGGAAAGCGGCGTCGATCATGCCGAGGTCACGACAGGCATCTCGACTGAGGTACATGGTGTCGCAGTTCGGCGTGATGTACACGAACTGTCGAGTCTCCCGCCGAATGCCGTCGCGGTGGCCGGATATACGTAGGATCAACGCTCCGCGGATGTCGATGGGATCGCCGTTTGCTGCGTGCATCCTCAGGGACGTCGGGACGAGGTCAGCCTCCGTGACGCCAAGGCGTCGCATGAGAGAGATGCCCGCCAGACAGCTCTGACAGCCTGTGTCGGCGATGACTTCCTGAGTGATGGTGGCCTGGCTGACCGTGCACTGGAGGCCCAGGGCGCCGTAATCGGCCGGTTGGAGCGAGAGGTCCAGTTTAATCGACGGCTGGGGCTGGCTGGGTTGCTGACACCAGCTCTGGGTGATGTCGTCGTACATGTGGTGCCGCATGGCTGCGGCGGTGCATGAAGCTACCGTGTCGTGCGTTGAGTCTCTGAGGCTACAGAGAGCGTCACTGGGAGCGTCATCATCGCCCTCCGGATGTGTAGTCGCGATACCGGCTGCCTGTCGCTGCAGGCAGGCCTCGGTGAAGTGGCCCCGGCGTCTGCAATGACGGCACTGGCTGCGGTAGGCGGGACAGGATTTAGCGCGAACCGCGACAGAGGCTTTTACGCCATGACCTGTCCGACGACAATATTGGCAGACGTCGGCCGGTCCTGCGACTGAACTCTGTTGACGGCCAGCATCGCCAGCTGATACTCGCCGCTCCTGCTCGCCGATGCTCGCTTTCGCTCGCCGGTACTGGCTGCGGGCGGCGGCCACACCTTGAGACTGACCCAGCGTCTGAGCGGATCGCTTACCAGCCTCTTTTGCTTCGACGAAACGAATGGTCTCTTCCAGGGGGATCGGTGTCTGGCCTTGGGCGAGGAGGTCCAGTTGAATATCCCTGTCCGCTAGCCCCCTGGCGAGCGTATCGCGTGTGACTTCATCCTGGTAGCTGACGACCCGTCCGCATTCGCAGGTGACGTGAAACTTACAGACAGCCGCCTGCCCGCGAAGACGAGCGGCGAACGCCCTGACCGGCTCTTCGTGCTCCTGCGTCATGTTGTGGAGCTGGACGCGAGCCACTGCGAGGTTTTCCTCGCGGACGGCGAGACTTCGCATTGCGGCCAAGACAGTCTGTTCGTCCTTGGATGAGAGGGAGCCCCCCGAGAATCTGGTGAGGTCCCTGCGGAGGCCTTCGTCGCAGCATTCAAGCAGCTGGATGACGCAGTCTGTATCGGTGAGTCCGGTGGCTTTCTTGTACTCCGTCCATCGGCTGGTGAAATACTCCCAGTCCTCGCTGGATCCGGCAGCTGTCACGCGCGGTCTGGTGACCTTTTCGGCAGTAATGCTCACTGTAGGCCGGGTATGGGCCTCGGACTGGTGCATTTGAAGAAGTTGTACGACCACGATAGGTGCGGTATCTGCAGCGACGACGTATTCACAGCCGCTGAATGGGCAGGCTGTTGCCATGGTTCGAGGCTCGGGTTTCGACGTTATGCTTGATTGCAAATTAAGATATGTCCAACATAGATAGGCATGCGCGCCATTTCGATATTCTGTATTCGGAATTCAGTGAATGTTGGACATATCTAGTCCTGCGGACGAGACAGAAACAATGTTACAGAGGGAAGGCACTGCATACATGTCTAGTGGAAGAAAAGAAGACTGCTGGAAATAAAACAAACTTCTCCATCCTAATTGACCTTCATCCTCCCAACACCCAATCCTGTCCCCTAGTGAGAATCCTAGCCACACAAACCAACCATAACAATGCAACCCATCGATCAAAGTAAAAGTTAAAGTTTAAGAACTCAAGGAGGTGCCGATACAAAGGCTAAACCTCCGATAACCATCGCATCGCATCGCATCGTTCGGACGACAATGTGATGTCAAGGCGAATCAAGAAGTTCTTCATGCGATTGTTAGTTATCTGTCGTGCTAACTTATTAGCAGTTGAGTTGTGAAATGTATTATCAAAATCAATGTTTATTGAACGCAGATTCAGTTTATTTTCAGATGTACCTAGGTACCCTTACACTTCACTCATCTCAAGCTGTTCAAACACCCTTGACAAAGTCGATTAAGATGAAACGTTGGGTATAATTTATACTGTGTTTTCTCTGCATTATTAACATATTCATCATATATACAATATAAGGGCCACATGCTTTTTACAGGGAGACATGTCAGACAGCCCAGTAGGATGAGGCTTCGTCAAGCGTCATTTTTAGCAAAGCTTTTCTTGCTTAAAATCCAGTCTGCAAAACATGGCAGGGCTTACACTTTGGCTTACACTTGACTCCCAGCTGTTTTGTCTTTGCTATGCGATGTTAAACATATAAAACATCTTACTATTCATGTATGCGCCATGACTCATGTAATCTTTTCACAGCCAACACGCTCCTAATGTACTGGGAATGTGGGGAGTGCAGCAGCATCAGTGCAGCACCAATGGTCAGATGCGACGGCTGTGATAAATGGTACCACTTCCGTTGCGCGGGACTGTCTAAGGAGCCAGGTAAGCGCAAATGTTTTCTGTCTCAGTCTTTTTGTTGCAGCTATAGTGATCAATGAAATATTTTCTGCACTGTTCAGCCAAACATGTATTTCAAACAATCTGCTTCCCAACCAAGGGCGTCGCCACAGGGGGGGGGGGGACGGAGGGGATCTCGTCCCTCCACTTTTTAAAATTTTTAACATTACGCCTATGGCGTTGCATGGAAAGAATCAACTTGAAATGGTCCGAGCCCCTCCAAAATGGTCAATGTCCCCTCCAGTCGTCGCACCGTGGCGTCGCCCCTGTTTCCAACTACACAGATTTAGTCAAACAATGTGCCAATATGGAATTTTCAGGTTCAGTTGAATGAAATAGGAACAATGATAATTGTAGATTACGTATACCTGCAAGAGAGGAAAACAGAATACATTGTATTGCTTGTCCTTCACCGATACTGTTATTTTTCCATTTCTAGAAACACCGACATGGCGATGCAGGTGGTACTGCCTGGTGAGGCCGCGGTCTCCGGAATCGCCTGCAGACGAAGTCACCTGGCGTCCATCTGCACATCACTTGCAGAAGTGAGGCCTGCTGACAGCGTCTGGCAGTGTCGGCAACGTGCCAGACAGCTATCTGGAGTCCTGCTCACCGCAGGTCGCCGACAGGAGGGGCGACGCATCGTCTCCGAGGTCGCCTCAGCATCAGTGAGACCCCACTGGCCGTCTTCTTAGGCTTCAACTAGATTGCGAACAACCTATGCTGAGACAACGCCCATGACGTGTGATCCGGTACCGCTACCGCACTGCGTGCCTGTGCCCGCCGTGAGCCGCTAGTGCATGGGTTCGACCATGAGAATGTGTGTTTATGTTGCTTTTACTATTGTTTATACGTTGAAGTGACGAATTGTTTATTTTTCGCAAGCCTCCGCTGTCCGGTTGCCTGCAGCTCCATGCAACGTCAGCTGTACTGTTGTTTTAATGTTGTCTCTCCGCTCAGCTGTACTGTTGCCTCTCCGCTCATATATGACACCCTCTATATGAATGGCACTACTGATTGTCACACCCACTGTCCGTATTGTCCGTAGTGGTGTCTACGCCCATGTTAATACAGCGTGCAGAATCCAGATTCTATTGAGGAGAGTTGAGCCAAGTCACCATAGGCTCGGGAAGAGAGCAACGTGGAGGCCCACTGCCCCTTCCCCGGCCCCCACTGGGGGCGCCAGCCACTCCAACTTTTGACTGGATGTCAAGAGCGTCGCCACGAGGGGAACGAGTCGCCGGCCAGCCAAGGTAGCCAACGGCGTGTGAAGGTTGCCTGACCTCGAGGAAACTGAGATGGCACCAACGGAGGTTTTGTTAAGTAGGCGACCAAAATTCGAGCGGCAGCAACCTGGGCACCTTCACAGGGAATATGACCGGGGGAATATGACCCAATATCCCCCGTAAATATGTGCCTCGGAAGGGAGACCCAACCATAAAACTCGCCGTATCTTATCCACTATTTTTCGAGCAGGTCCATAGATTTCCGTCCTCAAAAGTGCGGGGATATTCCCCAGTGTTTGAGTTGGATGGGACTATCGTGGCGTTTACACCGACAGGAGATTCCCATTGCCGGCTGTGGGAAATTTGGATATCAATGGAATCAAAATCTTATCGATCGATGAAGAACTAAATTACCCCGACCCGGAGAGCGTCTTTGGAATCAAAGCAGTAGCACATGACGCAAGACTTCAGGCAAATGAATCCTTCTCGTCTGAAATAAAACATTTGTGTATTGATAAGCACGTTTTATAAGCAATGGTAGCAAGATTCTTCATGTATTTGGTTTTAGTGATAATTTAGTAGCAGATACTTACCGTCGCATTTCGTTTTTTTAATTAATAATTTATATTGTCAGAACTAGCAACATATCTCTTCACTCAACAATAATTACAAAAATGAAAAAGAAATGATAAATTGCTCATATTTTGGTGAAACTAAAAATTAATTCAGCACATATTTTTTTTACAGCGTTGAAGTCCAGCTCCAAAGGACAGCTGACGATCGTAGCCGAGCAGGCTGCGTATATATCTTTCCCGAGCGAAAAAAACAAACATTCCAGTTTTTTGGCGCTTTTGTTTCAATTGTGGTGGTTCTGTTAGAAGGCCCATACAGATGGTGTTTGCGCAAAATTTCTAACGGAAAATCACCGACTATTTAGTGTCGACAGCTGCATATTAACTTTTTGAACACGCCTCCATCACTGCTTGTTTATTGGCTGTCTGTGGTATTGGGCTGTGTGGCTGTAGGTATATACCGTGTGTTGCTGGGTGATTGTGATAATATTTTGATGATTAACCTTTTTATTCAGCGGTAGAGAATTCTGAAAATCCCAGGGGGTGCTACAAACCCCTAATTATCCACCCCTGTTTTATTTTAAGTTCCATCCAGTACCAGTATGAGTGTTTATGGCAATGGAAGGTCAGGTAGGTGAAACATTTCATTATTGTAATTTTAATCTTTTGAGACCTGAGTTTCAACATTCTCTTGAGAGCCTGAGAGCATTCATGCCAAGGTTTCTGAGTCTGTTTCATGATAAAGAGACAATATTTATAATGGAGTCAACTTGTGGGTCAAGTCAGCAGAACTTGATAAATGAGTATGACATCACCTCTACACCTGTCGCCTCCTGTATTGTAGTGATGGCAGGTTCAATGCTGAGTCTCAGAATAATAGCCAGCGAGCGTATACTGTTGTTTTGTATTTCTATGCCCGATCGGCCCTAATGTGTAATGTCTTGCATTTCTAAATATTGAACTGTAATGAATGAGACGCTGTAATGAGGTACTGTAATGAAAAGACTGCCTCAGACTGCAAGGTTCTATTTAACCAAATATGACTGCATGTCTGCTACAGAATGAAACACTGACAAACACTGACACTGACATCAGGCACTGACAAAGTGAATGCACAAGAACGATAAGGACTTCTGGACTTCAGAGCAAGAGATACACCCTACGCTCAGGAACGCCGCTGTCACCACACATAGCATACAGCACCCGGTCGTGCCCATCATTAGCCTACAAGCCCCACCAGACGCTAACCGGCCACGATTTTACCGCCCTCTACGAAAAGCAGTCATCTCACTTTGCAAGCGACCTCTACAACGATAGAGGAATCGACAACTGGCAATCCGGCCTGATCGCGTCTCTCCGGTCTTACCACTTTGGCTATGCAGTGGTGGTAAACGGTAATGGGCTTCCGCGATTACCATAAGCTCCAGGGAGGTGCCATCCCTTCACCTCCCCTGCCGTCCCCTGCATCGCCATCGTTCATCACAAATGGCTATAATTAGGATCTGAATGCCAAAATTCATCGGTAGGAAGTTGCTTTCAAGCACTGTCCAGCTCTCAAATGGCCGATAGCCTCAACGCCCCCTGCAGTCGCACCAGTCTTAAAATTAATAGATCCACTCTACTGACAGGCACGGTGTATATTCAACCCAAAATGCACATAAATATCACAACAAAACAACCCCTATTCCCTGCGTGACCATGTGAGTAGCACTCCCCGCTAGCTGCGCTTCAGTTTATCCCCGACCCGCTCCTTGACCGCCTGGAGGAGGCGGGGCTCGCTGTACACTGCCGCGGCCACCACGGCGGCCCCACAGAGCGCGCCCACAGCCACATGGGCGGCGGCGGAGCTGGGGTATAGTCTCTCTTGAAAGTATCGCGACTCCGAAGGAAGGCGCCACCTGTCCCAGCCGCGGTTGAGCGGAAAGGTTTGAGAGCCGCCGCGCTGGTAGCACTGACCGAAGCCTGACACGCGGAGGCAGCCGGCGCAGCGGGCCGAGGGAAGTGGTTGCGGACTGCGGAGGGATGGGGGGGGGGGGGTGGCAGTCGCCATCCGGTTACTTGTGATGGTAGCTAAGCATGTGGTCAACGGAGGCCACCCTACTCGCAGAGGATTTGTTGAGATTTGTTTCATTGCAAAGTTAGCAATTTGACTCGTCATCGGCACGACTGTCACATTTTTTTTTTTTGGGGGGGGGGGGTAAAATCCGGAAACTCGTGCGCATATACCTAAAAAATCATCTGTTGCACCCGCTAACAGAATGCATCCGTGCTTGCACATGCACTCGTAAGCGGATTCAAAAACAAGAATTATCTCTCTAGCCAGTTCGCCAATTCGCTGTCTAGCCATTTAGTCTTATATTTGAAGTTCTCTCTTTTTAATGAGCCGGTTAACGAACGGCGACAAAAAAGAAAAAATAATGCTGTTCAGCCATGTTCTTTTTAAAAACTTATTTGATGCCAGGCTTCCTCCCCCCCCCCACACCCCGCATGACCTGTTTACGTCATTCAGAAGGCCTCATTACAGTAAGGGTTATGTATAGGCGGATCCAACCCAAAGTTTTGGGAGGGGCAAACCATCACAATTTATTGTCTCTTTTCATGCACTGCCATAGACGTAATGTTAAAAATGATGTCCTTTGTGGAGGGCAATTGCCCTATTTGCCCTCCCCTGGATCCGCCACTGGGGTTATGGCGGAACTTCGCTTCGTTGTGATTTTACGCGTCACGCACACTGAGTGATTGGCGCCCAGAAAGGCACACCAATGAGCGTCCGGCTGGTGAGCCCAAGAGGCACCGGTATCCGCCTGGGGCGGTGGACGGGGTCAAGGGAGAGCGATACGAGCATGACCTTTGGCCGGCCTCCGCCTGTTTTGACCCAGTTGTCAGCCGCTGGGGCCTGCGTCATATAGCAATTTTCCTTCTACCGCTGGCGTGAAATCGTGTTACAGCGTACTTTTTATGATACAGGCCATGACCTCCCTACTGGGGTCCTCAAACTGAATGGAATAGTTCGCTGAGCCGCCGCAGCCCAGGACGCGATACTTTCAAGAGAGACTATACAGCCAGCTCTCGGAGCCGGCTGCCAGCAGGCCGGCGGTCACCAGCGCGGCAGCCACGGCGGGCGGCGGGCGGAGACCGAGCAGCGGCGGCACGGACACCGCCGGCTCCAGCGGCAGACCGGCCACGAACCGGTAACTGGCGACACACGGGGCGGGGACAGGGTGAGAGTAATCGGACTGTAATCGCCACGCCCCGCGTGGATTGTCCATGAAGGTAATACATACAATACATACATACGAGAGAGGTACGGGACACTGTATCGGGCATCAGCGACACACGGGGTGGGGACAGGGTGAAAGGGGTACGGGACACTGCATCAAGCGCCAGCAACACACTGGACGGGGCGAGCGGGCAGCAGCAGCAGAAAATGGGACGAAGACATGATGGTTGAGAGTGGCACGGGACACTGTATCGGGAACCAGCAGCATACGGGGAGGGCACGGGATGAGAATTGAGAGGGGTACAGGACACTATTGGGGACAGCAGACATTCGTATCAGTCGATGGACGGGTGAAGTAACGAGATCCAAGTATATCGAGATCGGCGAATAAAGCGTGATATTGACTATCCATGACAGATTGGATAATGATGTAAATAATTAGACCAATTAGGACAAATCAAATCTATTCAAAAACACAAAAACTCACCAAACGTATATCCTGGTCAGCATATTGACGCAGTTGGCGAGGATCAATCCAACCCCGCCGAATAGCCTAGTAAAGATCCCTGTCGAGATGACGAATATCACAGATAGCAGCACCATCTTCCGGTTATACCTGAAACACCGGAAAACGCCACAACACCTGTCAAAGCGCCCGATAGTAACGTTCCTAGCTTCACTTTATCGACACGACTGGCCAGCCTTTCCACTTCGCCTTTAGCCGCAAAAGGCAGTCTAACAACAAAAACCAACATGAGAACGTCATTTCCTAATCCGCTCAGCCTCTACCGACTAATTTACCTCACTCCTTACTAAGCCCCGACCATTTCCCGACTGCCTTCCATAAACCCTCCACGGCACTTACCCATTGATCTGTTCCTGGCGCATCACTGCGAACGTGTAGCACTCCAGCACTCCGTTCACCGCCAGTAGGAGCACGTAGGCGCACTGGGCGCGCAGCAGACTGACGGCCGGACCGGCGGTCAGCAGGGCGCCTCCGTACAGCCGCAGCAGCAGGTGGGAGTAGCTCCAGCCGAACGTGACGGCAACCAGACAGAGCAGGCTCATGGC